AAAGCATATACTACAANGCCTTTGTAATGAAAAAGGCAAAGACTACAAACATTTGTAGTCAAAAAAGCGGACACTACAAACATTTGTAATGAAAAAAGCGCACACTACAAACATTTGTAATGAAAAAGCGCACACTACAAACATTTGTAGTCAAAAAAGCGGACACTACAAACATTTGTAATGAAAAAAGCGCACACTACAAGTCTTTGTAATGAAAAAGGCAAAGACTACAAACATTTGTAATGAAAAAAGCGCACACTACAAACATTTGTAGTCAAAAAAGCGGACACTACAAACTTTAGTAATGAAAAAAGCGCACACTAGTAATTTTACAAAGACTACAAACATTTGTAGTCAAAAAAGCGCACACTACATGCATTTGTAGTCTAAAAAGCGGACACTACAAAGTTTAGTAATGAAAAAAGCGCACATTAGTAATTTTTGTAGTGAAAAAGCGGACAGTACAAACCAAACTGATATTATGTAATGACTTTCCAAATTAGGAAATATGCGAACATCGTCATAAACAATGACAACACTAAGCTAGCCACTAACTCCAGTGGCCCAAAGAGCGTGGGAAACAGTTCCCAACCTAAATGTGCATTGTGCCTGACATTAGGTGTGGCAGAAAAAAGTGTAACGCTTTTCCCAATTAGGAAATGGCCGAATTAGGAAATAGTGCGCACATCATCATTAACAATGACAACACCATGCTAGCCATTAACTCTTCTGGCCCAAAAGGCGTGGGAAACAGTTCCCAACCTAAATGCGCACTGTGCCTGACATCAGCTGTGTCTAAAAAAGTGTAACGCTTTTCCCAATTAGGAAATGGCCCAATTAGGAAATAGTGCGGACATCGTCATGAACAATGAGAACACTAAGCTAGCCACTAACTCCAGTGGCCCAAAGAGCGTGGGAAACAGTTCCCAACCTAACTGCACACTGTGCCTGACATTAGGTGTGGCAGAAAAAAGTGTAACGCTTTTCCCAATTAGGAAATGGCCCAATTAGGAAATCATCAAAGCGGACACTACAAAATTTTAGCCTCACTTCAGTCAAAGCTATTGGTAAATATATGTAAACAAACTTCGAAATGAGGGTTTTCTGCCTTCCTCTGCCTAAATAAAAATAGATTATGGTTCCTGATACCATGGTATGGTATGAGGGTGCATGGTATGGTATGGTATGGGAGTGTGATACCATGGTATGGTATGGTATGAGGGTGCTATACCATGGTATGGTATGGTATGGGAGTGTGATACCATGGTATGGTATGGTATGGGAGTGCAATACCATGGTATGGTATGGGATGGAATTGCAACACCATGGTATGGTATGGGATGGGATGGGATTGCAAAACCATGGTATGGTATGTTATGGGAGTGCAATACTATGGTATGGTATGGTATGAGAGTGCAACATGGGATTACAACACCATGGTATAATATTTTGATAATGGAGACTCTGACAAGACTTTGGATTGGACAGATTCACCTAGCTTCAATAAATTGGACCAACTATTATGACAAAGAAGACTTTGGCCAAACACTCAGGACAACAATACTTGATTCCAACATATGTAGTGTTTAAGAAAATTGAGATTATATGATGGTGTTGTTGGCCATACTATATGTGTATGCTATGTAAGTAGGCAGGACTGTCTGATTGGCCCTACTGGGCAAAATATATTTAACCTATTATTGAAAGCATTCATATTAATGGCTTTTCAGGAATGAAAAAACCCTCAATTGAACTGATTTTTAAAGGTTGGAGTTCACTATCTGGCCTCCACTTGGAATTGGAAATCTTAGCAAAAACCTGAAAGCCTTTTCACTTTTCTTTTCTTCTCTATGACCACTTCATCACAATAGATGTGGTTTTGTTTGATTTGGATGAATATTGTTTTAATAGAAAGGATT